GTGTGTAAGAAAGCAATCAATTCAGAGACCACTAAAGGCCGCACAGTCCCCCCCCCCCCCCCCTCTTCCCCCTAGCTGGCTTTCATGCCTAAGGCGGGACTAGAATTCATTGTCTCCTGGGGATTGGTCCAAATTCAACTAGCCAGCTTTCATGCCTAAAGTAGAATTAGAATTTACTATTTCGGGGTGACCCAAAGAGGCAACTCAACTTTCTTTTCTTTGAAGACATTTCGCTTCTCATCCAAAAAGCTTCTTCAGCTCTTCATAGACATTTCCTGGTGATTAGCCCAAAGTCACCTAGAGGGTTTTCATGCCTAAGGCAGGACTGGAACTCATGGTCCTCTGCTTTTTAGCCTTAACCACCAGACCAGACTGGCTCCACCATATAGACATTCTACAATGGAAAAAGGGCCAGCCTGCTCCATTTTGCATAACCACGTTGTGCCGATATGTGGTCTAGGGAATCTAAAAAGCCACAACCAAGCCCGTCCGTCCGCAGACCGAACATGCAAAACCTTAAAACTGTGAAAGGATTATACATCTGATTAATACATCTGATTACTTTCCTGCCCAACGTGTGCACAATGGGGGTTATGCCAGGCGAGGCATCTCCTTTGGGAAATTGCAATGCAAACGTGTCTCCATTTTGCAAGGACAGACGGAAGGGGCCGCGAGGCAGATGGGCTTCCATGCTCAGTAGCATATATTCGTTATCAAAGAAAGGCATGGTAATGTCCCTTCAGATGAATGCAGTCTGGGGGAGGCCAGATCTGAGAAGAGCTTGAAGGCAGAATAATTTTGCATGTTTTAAAGAGGTGAAAATGTATTATTAAGCAGGAGGAAGAAACAGCCTTTATATTTCTAAATATTTTGCCTGTGTGTTCTGAGCAAACATTTCTCACCGTGCTATCAAGAAAATGGCCGGTATTAACCGAATAACAGAGTTGGAAGGGACCTTGGAGGTCTTCTAGTCTAACCTTCTGCTCAAGCAAGGAACCCTATACCGTTTCAGAAAAATGGTAGGATTCTACTGCCAATGATCTCTTTTTATTAAATTTATATGCCGCCCTATCTCACTCTCCAAAGCAATACAGGTGGTCCTTGACATAGAACCATAGATAAGGTTCCCCTCACACATATCTGCTAGTCGTTTCTGGCTGTAGTGGGGCAATGCTTATCTCCGTTACAAAGCTGAAGAGCCAGCGCTGTCCAAAGACATCTCTGTGGTCGTGTGGCCGGCAAGACTAAACACCGAAGGTGCACAGAATGCTGTTAGGGGTCCCTATTTTTCTACTTGCATTTTTACATGCGTTCGAACTGCTAGGTTGGCAGAAGCTGGGACAAGTAAACGGGAGCTCACTCCGTTATGTG